TTCTTTTCTTTCTCTGCCTTTATTTCTTTTCTTTTTTGGTTTACCACTTCTAATTTGACTGATACTTTAAAATTTTAAACCAGAGTTTTTAATACTATATTATTGTTTTGCCTTTATTAAATATTTCTTTGTTTCTGAAATCTCTTGCTCTAGTTTGATTTTAACTTTGATCTTAGTTCAGCTGCTTGTTTGGGATTCATTTTATTTCTGAAGTGAGTCGCCTTTAATTCAGTGAGTTCAGGCGGTCTTTTGCGATTGGTTGATAATTGGGCATCCGTTGGAATTGGTGGTAAAGCAGTTGTTGGAGGAGGTTTCATTCCGCCGGCCAGTGAAGAAAGTTCCAATAAAACGCTGTCGAAGCCTCGGTTTGGCAAAACTTGTGGACCAATATGATGTTCTAGAACATCATTTTTCGGTTCGTATTTCTGCGCTTCTTCATTTCTTTTTTTGCCATGTTTTATTCGACGATAGTAAATACAAGACCCGATTCCAATTATTATTACGAGAATAATCACAACAATTGTCACTAGAATTCCCAGTATATGATTAGAAGAATGCGATTTTTCGGACACATCCGCTAAAGCTGAAGCAGAGGGCTGAGCGGCCAGGTATGTGGGTGTAATGACAGGTAACTCTAATGACGCCGCTAAATCTCTTATTAAGAAAGAATTTTTATCAAATTTATGTTTATGATTATACATTATAACTATTGTCTTTTAAAGTGCTATGGCACTTTCGATCTATTTTGAATGAGATTATTTATTAGCAACTTGATTATTATTTTGTAATTCATTGAATGAATTCTAAAAAAAAGGAAGTTACTTGAATTAATAAAGAATATGATTAAAAACAGAAAGACATCCAATCTTTTTTAAAGTGGTCTTGAATCGGGGTAAGATATCGTTAACAAAATTTCAACTGATACCGTTAACAAAATTTAGCTGAAGGCATTTATTCGAAGGTCAGATGCGGATGTTGGCAACAGAAAGAAAATAAAAAAAATTGATTTTCCTTTTTTTTTTGACCTGCAAAAAAAAAAAAAAAAACAAAGCTCATGCCTTTTAGGAAAGCTAAAAGAATCTTGAAATATACTAAATTTTAATTTATTGTTTTGATTTCGAGCGGCGGGAACGACGATTTCTACATATTACATTAGAAACACAACGAAAATCCACTTCGGGCTAATTATCTTTTATGGTATAGCTCGGATAATCAAATAATCCCTATGGCTAGGCGATTAAATAGTGAAGTCACAAATAATACATTATTTTATATAAATATTAATATAAATAATACATATACTGAAACAGTAAATAGTAAAAGCGAAAAATTTTTTGGCACTTTTTATTTTAATTTCGAGACAAAGTTGTAGGATCTAAGAAATATGTAGTAAATAATACTCTTGGCATTGTTTATCTTGTAAGCTTACAAAACTTTTTAGTCTTCTATACGTAGCAAACAGCTGCTATGTGTGCAACTAACATCGTCAAATTCAATTTTTGACAAAAAAAAAAGGGTTTTACAGTTTTGTTACCAGTAATATGTAGCAAGGGGTTAGTGCGTTATCAGTTATGATCAGTCGGGTGTTCAATATTACGTACGTATGAAAAGTCGCTAACGAATCTGAGATTAAAATTTGCCAGAATCAATTTCGATAACTGTTAGTTATACAAATTTATGAATTGTAAAATTTGTCAGAATCAATTTCGATAACTGTTATACAAATTTATGAATTGTTATTTGCAAGTAATAAATTTACATAATAAATAGCTAACGAAACTTTAAAAAAGGGTTGTTCTCCAATGTTATTTGCTTCTGGCAAATTTAATCTGATTCGTTAACCTTATACAGGGGGATCCCGAAATTCTGGATCGGAAGGCATCGGAAAAATTTATCAATTCGCCCGGACGATCAGGGTTCCGATGCCTTCCGATCTATTTTGATTTTCATACGTACAGGACTTTTACTCTAGAATCGACAACCAATCATATAGTTTATATAGAAAATTTAATAAAGATTTTTTGCAAATCATTATCAAATTTTATTACTTTCTAACTAATACGTAGTTACTTTTATATAAAAACAAAATTTTTAATTACCGAATAGATTAATAAAAAAACTCTTATAACTGTCTTATACGTAAATATGTACGTATACGTAGTCGAAATCATGTGACTGTCCCGAAGCCGTTTTTTGATTAGTAAAATTTTAACGATACGTAATAACAAAACCGACCTATATAATCAAAATTATATTTATTGAATTCCTCTCAATGCTTTCTTTAAAGTAAACAGCCTTTTTTTTTTTGTATAGAACAAAAATCGTTAATTGACTTGAGAAAATAAGCAAAATGGCAATTACTTTAAAGAGCACGCAGGAAGAAACTTTATACTGGCGCCTTCTCAAAACCGGTATGCATAGTGGCATCGAATTTGAAAATATCACATGATCATATAGTCGAAAATCAGCCAAGCTATACTATCGTATAAAGCAGGTATTCTTCTACGTATATAATTTGATATTTAAAACATCAATTTACATAATAAAATTTTTGTCGATACCCAAAATTATCTTTGCTGCGGAGTTATAAAGAAGTACGTATTCATGTGATTGGCTAATTTATGTCGATCTAACAGGTTATGCTAATAATAGATTTTGTCATTGTTATTGTTACACCAAATTTGAAACGTGATTTGGAACGTTTGAATTAACTTTAGGGTTAGGTTATGTTTTAGGTAGGTATATATACGTAAAATTGCCTTCCCGACATTTTTGCTTAACCTACCCAAGGCAGGTTTTGACTGCCGTTTTTTGTATTTTTTTAGGTTTTTTGTTTTTCTTTCTTGTATTGCTTCGCCGGCGATCATCAAAATTCTATAATTTGATTGGCTGATAGTCACATGATTTATCTCCGCTTTACTCAAAATGGAAAAAAAGCCATAAGCCCCCTTTTAGTTGAACGATACCCATATAGCATTAAAGGAGATTTTTTTGAGAAATAAGTGACTTTGGACAAAACGTACTGAAATCTGATTTGTAGCTCAAGAAACATTTCAGACATGCCAATTAGATAACCAGTGTTGGCCTCTGACCTTAAATGACCTATATAACGAAAGTTGATATGACTTATGACCTGTTTTAATATAGTATTTTTTTATTAGCATTTAACATGACTATGACCAAAAAATCATATAATCATATGACCAAGGTCATAAAGAAAAAAAAGATATTATGACTTAGGTCAGCAGCCAACACACTGACTATAATCAAACATATTGGAAACCTGCTACGTATCAAATATAAGTGATAGGTTATCGGATATTACTTATGTATGGCAGATTATCGGTTTTGACAGGATCGGTTTTGGGAGGGCCGACAACATTTTTTCATCTGCATAAGATCCATAAGATCAGTATTTCGAAAATTATCGTTTAAATTATGTATGTTTATATTATTAAGGAAAATGACCTGCAAAATATCCTTATTATTGGACCCGCACTGTATTTGTTATCTTTTATAATCAGTTACACAATTTGTCGTAGAGTTTATATAGTATGTATTATTAAAAATTTTTTATAAAACTTTATACATGTTTTTTAAAACAAACTTGTTGCAAAAGTTTTTATAAATCAAAATAGTATAAATAAAATATTGCATTTATTTATTTACTTTTGTTAAATTCTTTTTTAGGCTTGTAAAATATGTACGTACTAACGTTAACGTTAATCTAAAATAGTTTATCTAGATGCAAAGTAAAAACTTAAAACATATCTTTAAAAGGCTAGTATATTATTAACTTAATGTCATGGATGATGCTGAAATCGGATGATGCTGAAATTTGAATCTATTTCATGTACGTACGTACGTACGTTACGTAACGATTTTAGATTAAGTTAGCGTTAGGATTTAGGGTTAGAATTGTTAATAAAGAAGTATAAGTGGCTTTTGGTATAGTTTTGGTATTGCTTTTGGTAGGGTTTATCGTTATATTTTCTGATAACTTTTAATATTTTCTATTTATTTAAATATTATATAGTACATATAAAATTTAAAACCTATATAGATTTGTAATATTAAAATCTTGTAAACGTGTAATTATACATTATTGTGGCGAAATTAAAAAATTGATATAAAATTGTTTTTATTTTATATATTATTAAAAAACTATATTTTTTTAAAATTATTTGTATATTAAGTTGGTAATATAGCAAGTTTTTTAATTGGGATTGTAATATTGTACAAAAAGTTAAGTAAAGCTGTCTAGTTGATAATTTTGGCCAGAAATAAATGATTTGTATTGCTAAATGCTAGCCTAAATCTGATAAATTCAACTCAGGAATTTGTAAAAATTGGTGAAGTTTGTGACAAATTTGAAATATCTTATGATTTAATAATTAAACTAGATTATATAATATTAATAATTATAAATAATTTTGATGATTATCTCTTAAACTGTAATCCAGGCAAATTTGCCTGGAAAATTAAAGTATATTTAGTATTTTTTAAATAAAATAATA